CCCCCCCCCAAAAAAATATATATATATATATATATATATACAATTTGTCATCCATTTTTGCTGCTGCTTGCATCTGATTTCATTAATATACTTGTTCTAGTAGTAACAGGATATATGTTTCTGTTCTTGACCAATCTTGCAATTTTCCTCAGAGGTTTGTCCAGCACTTTGAGTTGCTTCTAAAAGCTTGCATGCCCGATCATGTCTCCTATTATTCATTCCAGGAGACGACTGCTCATGCTCGGCTATCAGTAAGTCCCCCTTGGCATCATTAACCATGCGTTTCCAAGTTTTATCATTTTTTTATGATATATTACTTGCTCTTTCTTTTTGCTTTCTACTTTTGAGAGGGGTTGAAGGGGGATTGCAAGACATCGTTTTCACTCGGCGTGTGACTTGATCTCTATAATTATGCAGAACTTATCTATGTACAACTGCTTCAAAGAAGCACAGAGAAGTGCAAAGGATCTAAGGAGCAGTTTTTCTAATGATCCAGATAAAATGTCAGAGCTTCGTCGTATAGAACAAGTTGCAGAACATAACAGTGTTGCCCTAGGTCTTATCTCCCGGCTAGGAACTCTTGACCCGTCGCTTAAGGTTCAATTTGAGTTCAGCCACCATCCCTTCTTTGCTACCGCGGTTGTGAAGAGATCTTGAAGATGAAGTTTTTCTTTGATCTCCAAATTTTGCCATCCACTCTTGTGAAGAAGAGATCTTGAAGATGATTTTTTCTTGATCTCCAGTTTTGAATTATTGTTAGGTCTCATTGGATAATGTAACATATTGTCAATTTTTTTATTATTACCATATTTTGCCTTTTCATTTATTTATTTTTCATTACCAATGATGTAATTTGTAATTTGGGGGAATAGTCAATATTTATTGTATAATAAAGCATCAAGTACGAGGCTTTTGCAAGATTAGATACTGTGGTTTTCATGGTTTTAACTCACTGCACTGACTGCTAGGATCCGATATCCTATAATTTCGGTGATGACTTTTCAATTTTTTGAAATAAAGTAATGTATATAAAATTATATAAATGTACCATAAATGTAATGGCCTGACCGGTTATTTTGAGCTTTAGCGTTTCATTCGGCGTTTTGAGAATTTGAGTAGCTTCATATAATGTGTTATGACTTGCGTGTATGGGTGTTAATTGTGAGTATCGTGGCTCGACGTATTCCAGATGGACGGGTATCGGATTGGGTCATGCATCGCAACGACGTTATATTAGGATATGATCCTTTGTGCTTATTTCGTGTGTTGTGTTTTCCCTTGTGTGGTAGATTAATAGCATAGCGCTTCATGGTGGTATTTGTTGAGCTGGCGGGACAGTTCCTTCATTTCCATTCTCTTTCCATCATTGGTATATCTGAGTTATTGTTCGTTAGTGCACAGATTGCATGGTATGTGGCTCTAAGTAGGATTTGTATGACAGGTCGGTCGAGTAGCTTGTACTGGATGAGGTGAGGTTACTGAGCCTGAAATTCTTGTACACATTGTGGTTGAACTATGGGCTATTTGTTGTGGAAATATTGAATTATTCGTCCCTTCCATGACTCCGTGCTTATTTGCTACTTGCCCTAACTGTTTTACTTGCACACCTTAATTGCCACGTGCTTTATTTGTCCTGTTATTTTTTTTTTTTTTTGATTATGACGTGGTTCCTTTATTGCGTTGTACTCATACCCTTTGATCGTAGAAATTCTTGTAAATTGAGCAATTGGATTGCTTATGTTTATTGAAATTATTTGTGGATCGGGTTCCACGCCGCAACAGTTGTGATATGGTGAAATAATGGGAGGATTATGATATTGATTAATGATGATATGGTGGGATTGGGTTGCACGCAGCAACAACTTGTATATGTAATATTCGATATTGATAAATGATAATATGGTGGAATAAGGAAGGGATATGATAATGATTATGATGATATGGTGGGATCAGGTGCGCGATGCAACAGATTGTATATGTGATACTTGATATTGATAAATGATGCTATTGTAAAATAAGGGAGGATTGTGTGTGTACGGTGAGATCGGGTTGTGCGCTGCAATAGATTGTGTGTGTCGTACTTGTTGTTGTTGTTGTTGTTGTGTTAGTTTTCAGCATTTTTCATACGAAATTACGAGGTTGGTTATTCTGGGCTTTCTGATAGTGAGGTTTGAGTTCGTTTTCATAAATCTACTATTTTACTTTCATTTCCTGTTTTCTTTCCCTGTTATTATTTAATTCTGTGGAGTTACTATATCATATTCTATTGAGTTGTTGGTAATATAATGGTTTAAATAAACGAATTATTATCATACTTTATTCTATGTGCCTCTTAAGATAAAATTCATTATCTCACTCGGTGCGTTATTATTCTAAATGGTTATCACACTTTTACTATAATTGGGTTCTCAAATTATACTCATCATCCTGTTAATGTTTACCTTACTTAAATTTGTTATCATGTTTTTCCTTAGCAAATTTTATATTTAATTCGTTACTTTAACTTATGTTTTGTTTTGTTTAAAAATGATAATTTTACTCAATTTTATTGATTTCTAAACTAAACTCATCTTATACTCTATTTCGTACAAATTGTATATTATTTTACTTTACTTGATTTCTAAAATAAACTCATTATTTCATTCAACACATTACTTTATTCAAGATTGTTATTATGTTTTATGATGTTTAAATATATCTTTTGTTCATCTAAATTAATATTTATCACAGTTACAAGTACATGGTAGCACGTGGGTTTTGCCATGCTAAGGTGATTGTTATTGTAGGCACGAGGTGCCATATGTGTAAGATTTAGAAATTAGGGTCCATGACTTGTGGTTTATGATGTGTGGTGCCTCAGGGTATTTCTTGTTGTAAGCCCATGCGTTGGGAGTGATTTGATTATTTGAGTTGTCATCCGTTTTTCCTTATTTGAGTTCATTTACATCTCATCGGTGTTCTGACTATGCTGTTTCTTTATTACTTGTTTACTACTTGCTGCCATTTATGTTTCTCTTACTTCATTGTTGGTTGTAATTCAATAATTTTTCCGTCGTTGGTCATTGATGTTATGTCCATTGTTAGCTTATGTATATCTTGAACAAGTTTCTATGTCTAGTAGGTGTCTTGACCTGCCTCGTCACTACTCTATCGAGGTTAAGCTTGATACTTACTGGGTACCGTTGTGGTGTACTCATGCTATGCTTTTGCATATTTTTGTGCAAATTCAGGTATTCTGATTGTGTTGCTGAGAGTTGTGTCGCGTGGTAGGAGACTTCAAGGTATACCTGTTTGACGTTCGCAGGCCTCAGAGTCATCATCTTACTTCATTATGCTACTGTTAATTTGTAATTCAAAACAGTGCTGTGTTTAGAAATTCTAGTGTATTTTAGTAGTGTTTATGACTTCGTACTACTGGTTTTGGGAAATGTACAACTATTGGCCGCTTGCGGCTATGTATGTTATTTAATGGTTTATGATAAATGATTAAATAGTTCAATTCTGCTATTAAATCAACATGTGTTAGGATTAACTAGTCTTAGAGAAATTGGGACCGTGACAATAAATCATTGTTTTTATAGCTAAAAATATGGAGAAAAAATTGAAAAATCTTCGGAAAGAAATTATTTGATTCCTCACCCAATAATAGAGTCACATAAATTAAAAATGTGAAGTAAGCAATGTATTTCATGTTGCACAAGTTGAGTACGCTTGCATCAAACTTAACAAGTTCACGTTATAAGTATTATTTTAAAAAAATAAATATCAACAACTTCGAAGAATTATACGGTATCACTAAATTCCAATTCATATTTTTTCTAACAAAAGTATTATGGTTGAGCTTTTAAAAGATTTTTACGCTTATTAAAGTAAATCCTAGTACTATCGTAAGGAGGTTAACATTTGTATTTTATTTGATCCTCTATATTTTACTACTACCTTCAATTTTTTTTATCTTTTAAAGTTTTGGAGGAAAAAAAAAACGATGTAGAAAACAAAGAAAAAGCTGGTGCACATGATGAAACTGTATTAATTAATCTTCTTAACTGGCAAAACCACCAGTATAATTGTTGGATACAGAAGTATCTAGTTGGAAGCTGTGGAATTCATTATGTCATAATTAAAGATTATTAGAGTAATGGATTGTCTTTATCTAAAAACTAAATAACCAAGTATTTACAAGATAAGTATTCATTTGAACCGTGTGTTTATACTAAACTAAATAATTTAATCTTAATAATTAAAAACTAAAGTCAAAATACATATTATTTAATTATGAATATTGATATATTTATACAAAAAATATATATTTTACATTCATTAATTTTGTGTAAAAATGGAATGCACATTATTTTTATCACATTCACAATGAGTTGCCACTTGCCAGCTCCTCTTTCCAACCCACCAACACTACTCCCAACCCAAGGACCAAAATAAAAGAAAAATAAAACATATATTGTTTAACTAATATTCTAAATTTCACACTATCAGATCATTTGAAAAAATATCTGCAAATATTTTTTTAAAATGAGATTTATAATCTTAAAATAAATCATATTATTACCTGCTACAATAAATAAATGTAACCAAAGCTGATAATGTAAACAAATAAATATATATTTAATTAATATCTTATTAGTTGTTTTATATGTTCTATATTTCATATCTGATTATAATGAGCTATAGATTTGAGCAGTATTGGACTATTGGGTAATTTTGGTTGACTTCAAGATAAAATTTGAATGCGTAGTTAGTCAAAACTTGAGAAAATGATGGTAACTTCTAGTCTAGATAGAATCACATTCAAAGTTGAAAACTAAAAAATAAATAAAAGGTATTCTAGTCCTTTAAGTTTAAAATCTCGAAGTTAATTTTGTTCTAAGGAATTATAGATAAACTTTCTTTTATTGTTTTGAAAAGAAGTATTGGAGTAAAAGTAATAAAGTTGAAACAAAAGACAGAAGCTTTAAGTTTGTCCACTAGAAACCATTCAAAAATGAATTAAGAAAAATTAAAATCATAAGTCAGAATTAGTTAATAAGCGATTCTTTTTTGGTTTCCTATAGGGTATTTAGCAGCAGTGTACACAAAAATTTTAGTAAGCAATGTCTATAAAAAAGTGACAAATGAATAAATCACTGTAAGAACAAGTGATATCATTTCTTATATTTATACCCGCTATTTTCATGTTGCTTATAATCCGAACACATATATTTACAAAAATGTTTAACAAAACAGTATCACCTGACATCGCTTGATATTAGGTGCCTACGCCCCTTTGTTTGATAGTACTTATATTGGAACTCGGGCTAATTAGGATATGTGGTAAAAAATTACATGGAGTACCCTATTTGATCTCCCAATATTTTTTGAGAAACTTTCAGAAACCACTGTATTTTAGTGGTTATTAACTAGTTGTAGCTACCATTTACTATATTACTTTCTATAGCTATGTTTTAAGATTTTTTTAGAGTGTCTTCGATGTATTTAAGCTACTGTATTCATGAATCAGTAGCATTTCTAGGCGTGAAACAGGGGATTACAGCTACACAAATTTTTGTATTCGAGTGTATTCGACTGTATTCATGGCGTGAAACATGGGATTACAGCTGGATAAATTATTGTATTCGACTGTATTCACTGCGTGAAACAGGGGATTACAGCTACACAAATTTTTGTATTCGAGTGTATTCGACTGTATTCATGGCGTGAAACATGGGATTACAGCTGGATAAATTATTGTATTCGACTGTATTCACTGCGTGAAACAGGGGATTACACAGNTCAATTAAAAATATATATATATATATATATATGAATACATTCATGGAATATAGCGAGACAACGAATACAATGAAATACAACGAGATACACTGAAATACATGAAAATACAGCGAGATACATTAAAATACACTTAAAAAAA